CATCTGTGTGTGCTTGCTTGTGTGTGCAAGGCCAAACGGGTAGGTTTGAACAACCTCATCTGTGTGTGCTTGCTTGTGTGTGCAAGGCCAAGCGGGTAGGTTTGAACAACCTCATCTGTGTGTGCTTGCTTGTGTGTGCAAGGCCAAACGGGTAGGTTTGAACAACCTCATCTGTGTGTGCTTGCTTGTGTGTGCAAGGCCAAACGGGTAGGTTTGAACAACCTCATCTGTGTGTGCTTGCTTGTGTGTGCAAGGCCAAACGGGTAGGTTTGAACAACCTCATCTGTGTGTGCTTGCTTGTGTGTGCAAGGCCAAACGGGTAGGTTTGAACAACCTCATCTGTGTGTGCTTGCTTGTGTGTGCAAGGCCAAGCGGGTAGGTTTGAACAACCTCATCTGTGTGTGCTTGCTTGTGTGTGCAAGGCCAAACGGGTAGGTTTGAACAACCTCATCTGTGTGTGCTTGCTTGTGTGTGCAAGGCCAAACGGGTAGGTTTGAACAACCTCATCTGTGTGTGCTTGCTTGTGTGTGCAAGGCCAAACGGGTAGGTTTGAACAACCTCATCTGTGTGTGCTTGCTTGTGTGTGCAAGGCCAAACGGGTAGGTTTGAACAACCTCATCTGTGTGTGCTTGCTTGTGTGTGCAAGGCCAAGCGGGTAGGTTTGAACAACCTCATCTGTGTGTGCTTGCTTGTGTGTGCAAGGCCAAACGGGTAGGTTTGAACAACCTCATCTGTGTGTGCTTGCTTGTGTGTGCAAGGCCAAACGGGTAGGTTTGAACAACCTCATCTGTGTGTGCTTGCTTGTGTGTGCAAGGCCAAACGGGTAGGTTTGAACAACCTCATCTGTGTGTGCTTGCTTGTGTGTGCAAGGCCAAACGGGTAGGTTTGAACAACCTCATCTGTGTGTGCTTGCTTGTGTGTGCAAGGCCAAGCGGGTAGGTTTGAACAACCTCATCTGTGTGTGCTTGCTTGTGTGTGCAAGGCCAAACGGGTAGGTTTGAACAACCTCATCTGTGTGTGCTTGCTTGTGTGTGCAAGGCCAAACGGGTAGGTTTGAACAACCTCATCTGTGTGTGCTTGCTTGTGTGTGCAAGGCCAAACGGGTAGGTTTGAACAACCTCATCTGTGTGTGCTTGCTTGTGTGTGCAAGGCCAAACGGGTAGGTTTGAACAACCTCATCTGTGTGTGCTTGCTTGTGTGTGCAAGGCCAAACGGGTAGGTTTGAACAACCTCATCTGTGTGTGCTTGCTTGTGTGTGCAAGGCCAAGCGGGTAGGTTTGAACAACCTCATCTGTGTGTGCTTGCTTGTGTGTGCAAGGCCAAACGGGTAGGTTTGAACAACCTCATCTGTGTGTGCTTGCTTGTGTGTGCAAGGCCAAACGGGTAGGTTTGAACAACCTCATCTGTGTGTGCTTGCTTGTGTGTGCAAGGCCAAGCGGGTAGGTTTGAACAACCTCATCTGTGTGTGCTTGCTTGTGTGTGCAAGGCCAAACGGGTAGGTTTGAACAACCTCATCTGTGTGTGCTTGCTTGTGTGTGCAAGGCCAAACGGGTAGGTTTGAACAACCTCATCTGTGTGTGCTTGCTTGTGTGTGCAAGGCCAAACGGGTAGGTTTGAACAACCTCATCTGTGTGTGCTTGCTTGTGTGTGCAAGGCCAAACGGGTAGGTTTGAACAACCTCATCTGTGTGTGCTTGCTTGTGTGTGCAAGGCCAAGCGGGTAGGTTTGAACAACCTCATCTGTGTGTGCTTGCTTGTGTGTGCAAGGCCAAACGGGTAGGTTTGAACAACCTCATCTGTGTGTGCTTGCTTGTGTGTGCAAGGCCAAACGGGTAGGTTTGAACAACCTCATCTGTGTGTGCTTGCTTGTGTGTGCAAGGCCAAACGGGTAGGTTTGAACAACCTCATCTGTGTGTGCTTGCTTGTGTGTGCAAGGCCAAACGGGTAGGTTTGAACAACCTCATCTGTGTGTGCTTGCTTGTGTGTGCAAGGCCAAACGGGTAGGTTTGAACAACCTCATCTGTGTGTGCTTGCTTGTGTGTGCAAGGCCAAACGGGTAGGTTTGAACAACCTCATCTGTGTGTGCTTGCTTGTGTGTGCAAGGCCAAACGGGTAGGTTTGAACAACCTCATCTGTGTGTGCTTGCTTGTGTGTGCAAGGCCAAACGGGTAGGTTTGAACAACCTCATCTGTGTGTGCTTGCTTGTGTGTGCAAGGCCAAACGGGTAGGTTTGAACAACCTCATCTGTGTGTGCTTGCTTGTGTGTGCAAGGCCAAACGGGTAGGTTTGAACAACCTCATCTGTGTGTGCTTGCTTGTGTGTGCAAGGCCAAACGGGTAGGTTTGAACAACCTCATCTGTGTGTGCTTGCTTGTGTGTGCAAGGCCAAACGGGTAGGTTTGAACAACCTCATCTGTGTGTGCTTGCTTGTGTGTGCAAGGCCAAACGGGTAGGTTTGAACAACCTCATCTGTGTGTGCTTGCTTGTTTGTGCAAGGCCAAACGGGTAGGTTTGAACAACCTCATCTGTGTGTGCTTGCTTGTGTGTGCAAGGCCAAACGGGTAGGTTTGAACAACCTCATCTGTGTGTGCTTGCTTGTGTGTGCAAGGCCAAACGGGTAGGTTTGAACAACCTCATCTGTGTGTGCTTGCTTGTGTGTGCAAGGCCAAACGGGTAGGTTTGAACAACCTCATCTGTGTGTGCTTGCTTGTGTGTGCAAGGCCAAACGGGTAGGTTTGAACAACCTCATCTGTGTGTGCTTGCTTGTGTGTGCAAGGCCAAACGGGTAGGTTTGAACAACCTCATCTGTGTGTGCTTGCTTGTGTGTGCAAGGCCAAACGGGTAGGTTTGAACAACCTCATCTGTGTGTGCTTGCTTGTGTGTGCAAGGCCAAACGGGTAGGTTTGAACAACCTCATCTGTGTGTGCTTGCTTGTGTGTGCAAGGCCAAACGGGTAGGTTTGAACAACCTCATCTGTGTGTGCTTGCTTGTGTGTGCAAGGCCAAACGGGTAGGTTTGAACAACCTCATCTGTGTGTGCTTGCTTGTGTGTGCAAGGCCAAACGGGTAGGTTTGAACAACCTCATCTGTGTGTGCTTGCTTGTGTGTGCAAGGCCAAACGGGTAGGTTTGAACAACCTCATCTGTGTGTGCTTGCTTGTGTGTGCAAGGCCAAACGGGTAGGTTTGAACAACCTCATCTGTGTGTGCTTGCTTGTGTGTGCAAGGCCAAACGGGTAGGTTTGAACAACCTCATCTGTGTGTGCTTGCTTGTGTGTGCAAGGCCAAACGGGTAGGTTTGAACAACCTCATCTGTGTGTGCTTGCTTGTGTGTGCAAGGCCAAACGGGTAGGTTTGAACAACCTCATCTGTGTGTGCTTGCTTGTGTGTGCAAGGCCAAACGGGTAGGTTTGAACAACCTCATCTGTGTGTGCTTGCTTGTGTGTGCAAGGCCAAACGGGTAGGTTTGAACAACCTCATCTGTGTGTGCTTGCTTGTGTGTGCAAGGCCAAACGGGTAGGTTTGAACAACCTCATCTGTGTGTGCTTGCTTGTGTGTGCAAGGCCAAACGGGTAGGTTTGAACAACCTCATCTGTGTGTGCTTGCTTGTGTGTGCAAGGCCAAGCGGGTAGGTCTGAACAACCTCATCTGTGTGTGCTTGCTTGTGTGTGCAAGGCCAAACGGGTAGGTTTGAACAACCTCATCTGTGTGTGCTTGCTTGTGTGTGCAAGGCCAAACGGGTAGGTTTGAACAACCTCATCTGTGTGTGCTTGGTTGTGTGTGCAAGGCCAAACGGGTAGGTTTGAACAACCTCATCTGTGTGTGCTTGCTTGTGTGTGCAAGGCCAAACGGGTAGGTTTGAACAACCTCATCTGTGTGTGCTTGCTTGTGTGTGCAAGGCCAAACGGGTAGGTTTGAACAACCTCATCTGTGTGTGCTTGCTTGTGTGTGCAAGGCCAAACGGGTAGGTTTGAACAACCTCATCTGTGTGTGCTTGCTTGTGTGTGCAAGGCCAAACGGGTAGGTTTGAACAACCTCATCTGTGTGTGCTTGCTTGTGTGTGCAAGGCCAAACGGGTAGGTTTGAACAACCTCATCTGTGTGTGCTTGCTTGTGTGTGCAAGGCCAAACGGGTAGGTTTGAACAACCTCATCTGTGTGTGCTTGCTTGTGTGTGCAAGGCCAAACGGGTAGGTTTGAACAACCTCATCTGTGTGTGCTTGCTTGTGTGTGCAAGGCCAAGCGGGTAGGTGCTGTGTGTGCTTGCTTTTGGGGTGCTGTGTGTGCTTGCTTGTGGGGTGCTGTGTGTGCTTGAGGGCATAAGGCTGACTATCTGGTCGACCACCCCGCTTCCCCCCATGCCATGTGCTTGGTTTCCTGGGCTTGTGTCACCAGCAAGGGGGTCAGCCATCCCTCAAGCATGAGGTCACCGCACTTCACACTACCAGACTCCTTTTGACTCCCACCCCACCGCCCCCAATACCAGGTACTTGACCTCTTGGACCTGCGGCACCAGCATGGGGGTCACCCATCCCCGCAGCTATCAGTTCACCGCGCTGCACACTACCAGACTCCTTCATTTTTCCACCCCACCCCACCCCACCCCCCCAATTCTAGGTGCTTGACCTCCTGGGCCTGCGGCACCAGCAAGAGGGGCAGCCATCCCCCCACACACCACCTCCACCTGCAGCGGTTGTTGTGCCTGACTTGATCGACGTGGGGGAGGGGGGCAAGGCGGAGGGAGGGGACGGAGGGGAAGAGAGAGCAGCAGAAATAGGGGCAAGTGGTGACTCGTCTAGTTCGCAGGCACCTGGTGTGACGGGAGTAGATGACTTGCTAGGAGGAGGGAGCATGGACCCGTTCAACTCACTGAATGCCGCTCCTCCTCCTCCTGCTGCTGCTGCTGCTCCTTCTGCTGTAGCTCCGTCTGCCCCCACAGCTCCCGCTACAGCACCCGCTACAGCCGCTGCAGCCGCTACTGCTGTAGCTCACGATCCATTTGCTGGTATGTCTGGTGACCTCACGGCACAAACGGCCGACCTCTTTGAAGGTCTGAGCGTCAACAGTGAAGGCGGTGGTGCTGCTTCTGCTGCTGCTTCTGCTGCTGCTGGTGCTGCTGCTGGTGGCGCTGGTGGTGGTGGGGAAGGGGGGGATCTGTTTGCGGGTATGAGCGTGAACCAGCAGCAGCAGCAGCAGCCACTCTCTGCAGGCGCAGCGAAGCCGAAACAGGCAGCAGCGCCGCAGTGGGGAATGGGGGGAGCGGGCATGCTAGGCACACCCATGACCATGCCTGTTCCCATGGTGCCTGCATCATCAGCAGCAGGGGGAGGAGGCGGGGGGATGACCATGGGTATGGGGATGGGGATGGGAATGGGCATGGGGATGGGTGCAGCAGGGGGCATGCATCCCATGATGGTTCCCATGCCTATGATGGTTCCCGGGGGAGCCATGATGGCTGGTCATCCTCGCATGATGCCCATGCCCATGGGCATGGGTATGGGGGGTATGGGTATGACCATGGGCATGGGTGTCAACATGGGAATGGGTGGAGGGATGGGCATGGGGATGGGGATGGGGATGGGGGGAGTTGGGGGCCCAGGCATGGTGGGAGGCCCGGGGGGGATGGTGGGTGCTGCGAATGGGGGAGGGAGGGTGGGGGGTGACTTTGATTTCTCGGGTGATCCCACGCTGCGCCCGGTCCCTACCATTGCTGCCACCAAGGAAGACTCGCACGCTTTTGACTTTGTGTCGGTGAGTTGAGAATCGAGCTTCTTTGTGCCTCAGATTGTTTCCCAGACATGTTCCATGTCTCTGATTGGTCCTCACTGCATGCTCCTCACCATCTCTCCAGCTCTCTGTTTCCCCATCCATCTCCCACTGCCCGTCCTCCAAAATATTTTCCCGATGTCCATCCTCCCATTTACCTCCATGTGTGTCCAGGAGCATATAGTGGCAGCCATGGGGACGAAGAAGGGACCACCAGCTTCAGCCATGCGCTCTTCATAAGCAGTGTGGCAGTGACAGGGGTGCGCTTGTCACACGTGCATGAATGAAAACCTCCTTTCTCTGAGTGGCATTAAAATCAAGCTTGGACCCTAAACCCGGGTCATTGAGCTTGTAAGCTGCTGTGATAGCTGCAAATGTTTCCCTCATGCCGACTGACCACTCTACTTGACAATGTTGCCATGATAACCATGATACACCCATGTTGCAACTGTACCACTAGCATGACACAACCATAGCACGACAACAACCATGCCATTGCCAGAATATATTTTATATATATTTCTGTAAAACTGCATGTAGTTCTAGCTCTATTGTAGTTATTGTCATACCGTAAGCCCCCGGATAGTAGCGGCCCTGGGGGTATAAAAAAACACTGTTTTTTAGGGGGTGCGCTTATAATCGAGGATTTTTATAAGCGCCGGCGCTTATATAATGACATTTAGGAAATGCGTATTTCTTACACCAAATTGTAGATCACGTTCTTGCAATTTGAATCGAGTCGAAACTATACAGGGCTGGAATTGAGAATCTCGCGCCAGTTGGCAGGGAATGATTCCCTGCCAACACACACAGTCAGAATGAGTCAACTTACGCTGCCGACAGCTCATTCTGACTGGACGCGCAGGCACTGAGCCGAGCGAGGTGAAGGGCTTCGAAATTCAATCATGTGGGAATGGAAAATGTGAGTTTCGTTACAACGATTTCAGTACAATTAAAGCAAAACAAAACAGAGGGTGGCGCTTATAATCCGTAAGCCTTCAGGGGTGGGCTTATAATCGAGGACCAGATATAAGCGCCGTCATCCTTTTATAAGCGCCGGCGCTTATCCGAGGCCTGCGCTTATATCCGGGGGCTTACGGTAGTTCCTGTAGGTGGTGCACCCTTTGCCATCTCTCGCTCCTATATCTTGTACCTTGTTCTCTTAGTGAAACACCTCTTCCTTTCTACTCTCGATAGTTGCTTGCACCCAAACCCTAGGCACTACTAAGCTTATCTTAACATGTTATCAGAGTGTGGTCTTTTCTAGGACCTATTCTACATGGGCCCACCAAATCCGCCTTGTGCCTTGGCGGCCCATTGTGCTACTGGCGCGAAATCCGCTGCTGTTTCAGGAGCTTATGCTAAACAAGTCGTGCGCCCCGGGCGCGCGGCGGTTTCTGCTCGTCGTGCGCCCCTGGCGCGCGGCGGTTTCTGCCTGTCGCACGCCCCGAGCGCGTGGCGGTTTCTGCCCGTCGCACGCCCCGGGCGTGTGTCGGTTTCTGCCCGTCGCGCGCCCCCAGCACGCGACGGTGTTCTGCCCGTCTCTCGCCCCCAGCGTGCGAAGGTTTTCTGCCCGTCGCGCGGGGGCCCTGCTGCCCTGCTTCCCGTCGTCCCCGCCGCCCGCTTCCTCCTCCCTCTCCTGCTTCGCGTGCAGCAGTTTGGGTGTTGGGAGGACGCAGGAGTGGCGGTGGGGGGTGGTTGCACCTCCAGCGCCCCGCTGCTCTGCTTCGTCACCAAGCCAGCATCTCCCCCCCCTCCGCCTCTCCTTTCCCCCCCTGCTGCTCCTACTGCAGCGGCGGTTTCTGCCCGGCGCCTCGTGCGCCCTGCCCGCCCACGCCGGCCTCACCAGATCTCACACCTCGCCCCCCCCCCTCCCTTCTATTCCCTCTCCCTACTGCGTGTGCAGCAGTTTGGGGGGAGGGGGAGGGGGTGTAAGGGGGAGGTTGCACCAACAGCACCACCCTCCTCTTCTCTCTTTCACGGCCGCACCTGCTGCTGTGGGGGGGGAGGGCGGAGAGGGCGGAGTGGTGGGAGTGACGGGAGGAGCTACTGCCGCTGCCGCTGCCTTCCCCTCTCTCTCCCTGCTGCGCGTGCAACAGTGGGGGGGGGGTGGGTTTGGGGTGGCGGGTGTGAGCACCCAGCTGCTGCCGCTCCTCCTCTCTCTCTCACTGCCGCACGTGCCGCTGAGGGGGGGAGGGTGAGGGGGTGGCGGGTTTCTGGTCGCCGTGTGAAGGCTTGAGCATGGACCACCGTGGGTGGGGAAGGCTTTGGAGGAAGGGTGGGGGGAAGGTGTGAGGTTCCAGGGGGCGGTTGACAAGGGGGGTGAGGTTGAGGGGGGTGGCTGAAAGGGGGCGTGGAATCAGGGGGTTAGTAAGAGGGGCACGCCGAGCTAGGCTCCCCCCACCTCCTCTCCTCCCTCTCTCACCCTCCCCCCTTTGTAAAACGGGGGTTCGTAAGAGGGGTTCGCCGCGTGGCTCCCCCCACCTCCTCTCCTCCTCCCTCTCTCACCCCTCCCCCCTTTGTAAAACGGGGGTTAGTAAGAGGGGCTCGCTGCGTGGCTCCCCCCACCTCCTCTCCTCATTCTTCTCCTCTCCCCTCTCTCTCTCTCTCTCGTCTCCTCCTCCTCACTTACCTCTCTGTTGTCTTCCGCTGCGCAGGGTGTACCCCTTCAGGGGGTGTTCTGCACATGGCTATTCCTGCATGCAGTTAGGGGGTGTGTCAGAATATATTTTATATATATTTCTGTATAACTGCATGTAGTTCTAGCTCTAGTGTAGTTACTGTCATAGTCCCTGTAGGTGGTGCACCCTTTGCCATCTCTCGCTCCTATATCTTGTACCTTGTTCTCTTAGTGAAACACCTCTTCCTTTCTACTCTCGATAGTTGCCCAGCACCCAAACCCTAGGCACTACTAAACTTATCTTAACAGCCATGACCATGCTGCCCACGCTAGAACCATGTCAGCCATGCCACGACAATGCTGCATCCATGCTAAAGTCTGGCTTACCAATTATGCAACAGCCATGCCAGTCATGCCACAAGCATGCAGCAAGCAATCCCCTGGTGAGAAAGGAACTACGGTACCGGTAGAAGTAGGGCCTCGAAAATGCATGTTACTCTGGCCTGGCTGTGTAAGCAGCGTAGCGCATCATGCCCACAAATGCACTGCATGTTTATGTTGGAAACATATAGTTAGCGCTTCTGATGTGTCGAGCACTACAATGTAAGCGAAGCGAACTACAGCGAAGTAACAGCGAGTCAACCAAAGCGGTTGACAAAAAACAACAGCAAGAGGTTAAGTGAATGTCAAAGGTCAGCGACCTTTGACTCGCTGAAAGCAGCGCGACCGTAAGGACACATAACTGACTCGCCATTGAGCAGTTACCCGAGTCGTCGCTGTATCGAACCGCAACAGCAGTTACAGTTAGTTAAACCTTTCGTATTCCTTGTAATCATATAAAGTCCTGTATCTCTTTGCTATTATTAACTAATCTTGTTCTCACATACCAGCACAAGGTGGTTCAACCAGTTCACTAAGACACTTCCGCTAATACATCATTATTCTGAGTCTTAGCCTTGAAAACGATCCTAAGGGCTTTTCTCAGCCCAACATGGTATCAAAGCTAGTAAGGGCACGACTCAACTATTTCCTCTTCCTACAAAAACAAAAGGCATGGAAACGCAGAAAGAAAGGAGTTCGTCTACTGGATCCTGCGGTACCACTCCTACTCCACCTCTAGTCTCTGGACTACAGACAGAAGGAGGCACTGCCCAAGGACCAGCTGCAGAATACACTGAAGCACCTGAAAATCCGACATCTGGCTTCGACCCAAGCATGATGGAGAAATTCTTCTCCTTCATGTCCTACTACAAACAACAACAGCAAGCGGCACCTGCATAGTCAAACAACAGCGACAACAACAACGGAGTTACTCCCATGAGCCTCGATGGCTCCTCCTTTGCACGCGGAAATCAGCAGCCTACCTTTGCACCGTATGAGCCCCAATGCGGCTCTATCAGCTTCATGCCAAATCGGCTTCCACCTGGACAAGAAACAAAGATACTGGACGCACTTCAGCTGCAGTCACATTTTGCACACGTTCTGAAATTACAGACGGCAACACCATTTGACGGCAAAGACTTCTATACCTTGTCTTTTGAGTTCGAGCTGATGATGGAGGGTGCCCAAATCCTTGGCTTCTTCGACGGTTCCCTGCCATATCCAACGCACGGGATACAGTATGACAAGCAGCAGTACACGTATCAGTCACTAATGGCGTACACCATACTCCTGCAAAACATAACGGCAAACGAGCAGCAGAACATCCGATCTTATCGTGGATACGGTAACTTCGCCGAGCTCGCGTATAACCATATGAAGAACTTGTACCAAGCAACCGACAGCGTTAATCAAATTCGTCTCATGGCGCAATTGACAATGGTCCAAATGCAGCCCGGCGAAAAGGGAATGGCATATAACAGACGCTGTCGCGGTCTGCGCGACAGGCTCCTTCGATGCGGAGGATCAATATCCGAAGAAGCTTTCGTCACTGTCATCATCACAGGCCTCGGTCCTCAGTGGCGCTCCACCCGAGCCATTCTCCGAGCCCATGGAAGAATCTCCGAAGCAAACCTCAGCGCCGAAATTCACGCCGATCAACAAGACATGACCTGCACGAAGAACGTCACAAGAATAGGGCATCAACACCGGAGTTTGCCTTTCACACTCAACGGCGCTACAACAACAACAACCGACAGAACGAGCATCAAGCACGAAGACACGTACCACCATTCTGCCATCTCTGCCGAACGTCCGGCCACTCTCGTATTCACTGCCCTCCTCAAATCAAACTAGTGCTTCCAAAGCAGTTCTGAAGAGGAATAATTGAGCAGAAAAAATGGGTACCAGAGGTGGATGTTTTATTCACCAACTCAAAAGTCTAGCTTTTAAGCGAACAACTAAAATATGAAGGTAGACCCAACTTGAAATTGGGGTCATGAGCCAAAGGGACGAGTCGACACGCTTTGCTGGCATGCGAAGGCGGGGATTAGACAGAAATTCACATCACACACGTGCTGCCCGCAAGGAGATTGGTGGAGAATGTGGAAGAACCTACGAGGTTAGTGGTTCTCGTGTTCCACTGGTGGGGAATAGCTACGACAAATCTTTGTGTGAACAAATCCGCGATTGGGAGGTCAATGATTTAAATGTGAGGTAGGGTGAAAAAGCAAATGTGGTA